AGCTGAACATAATATTAAAATGAAAGTAACCAATCATCAACACCAACTATATAAAGACCAAGAAAGCATGATGCAGATGAAAATTATAACACACTAGTGTCAGATTAGAAAAAAAATGCACAAAATTAAAAATTTTCAGTTCAGTCATCATAACAAACACAAATATAATTAAAGACAGGATATTCTCAAGGTTATAATAATATTTTGTCCCACTTCTATATGGGCATTTGTGTTAGAAGGAAGGGCTCCCTAACAACACTATTCAATTTCCTAGAAAGTTTCCTAAAAGCAGAAGACATATAGAAAAAATTCATTTTATAGCACCACCACCTCTGCACACTCCACTCAGCACTAATGATATAAAATTATTGGCAGTCATTACTCTAAATGTAGTTATTACATATTGCAATGACAAGATGGTCTCTTTAGATTCTTTTACTCCATCCAATACATTATGCCATTTTTCTCAAGATATATCACCAAGATGAAATGGTCTAAATTGCTTACATAATTAATCCAATTACTTTGCACTGACAAAGTGTGGTAATTTTATTTTAAATTGTAAATAGGCTTAAAATGACCTTTGGGATTGAAATGGCTCTAAGAGATAAAAGTAATTGAAAGCACAACCTACTGGTTTCTCATAATCTTTTGTAAGTATTGATTTAAAAAGCTTAAAGTTATAAATGAGGGGAATGCAAAATTTTAAAGAAGAAAAAGTTTGAGGGGAGTTGGAAATAAATCTACTTTTAACAAGTTTTAATATCCCACATGTATAAATGTATTTTGACAAAGTTACAATCCATTAAGCATCTTAGTAGTTTTAGTTAAGATGAAATTTGTAGTATATAAATAACAGAAGTATATCTTTCTTATTGTGTAAATAAATGCTATTCAGACATAGTAAGCAATGGCCATTTCAATAACAGAGAAGGGCTTAATAGAAAAGGAGTTGATCTTTTTTTCTTTTTGCTTTTTTGGGTCACACCCGGCAATGCACAGGGGTTACTCCTGGCTCTATGCTCAGGAGTTACTCCTGGCGGTACTCAGGGGACCATATGGGATGCTGGGAATTGAACCCAGGTCGCCCGCATGCAAGGAAAACTCCCTATCCGCAGTGCTATCTCTCCAGACTGAGGATTTGATTTTATCAGGAAATTACTCTTCTAATTCTAACCACAAACTATAATCCTCAACAGATCAACTCAAATCTTGGAGTGCTAATTACTATTTTATAAAAGATTACGATGACATAAATTTTAAGGTATGAATCTTCAATCTCTAACATTCGATGATTCCAAAATGCATCTAGATAATCTGAGGAAATAAAGGAGAAATTGAGATTCAATAAAGATAAAATATGGGCATCAGAATAAGGGTAATTTTGACTTAGTCAACAGAAAAAAAATGTTTCATGAGAAAAAAAAAGAAGAAATTTTACTTTAAAGGAGTTTTCATTTGAGGGAATTAATTGAAATTAGCTGTGTAAGCTACTTAACTCCTTCAGCAAAGTTTACCATAAGAGGATTTCAACTGTAGTTTCTGAAACACAAAAGGAAATGACCTTTAAGAGAAAACTGAGGATATAGTACAAGGGTTAAGGTGCTTTACTTTCACACAGAGAGCCTGGGTTTGATGGCTGAAATTGCACATGGTTCCCCAGCACTTCCAGACTGATCCCTAAGAACAGAACCAGAAGGAAATGATAAGCACAGCTAGGTGTGCGTCGCTGAGAGAGAGAGAGAGAGAGGGAGAGAGAGAGAGAGAGAGAGAGAGAGAGAGAGAGAGAGAGAGAGAGGGAGAGAGATTCCTACTGAGCTTGGTTGACCATCCAAATGACCAGTCTGAGCACAAAGCCTGAAATATTCTATAAACACAGCAGAGTGTGTGTGGTAAAATTCCCCACCCACATTTCACAATATTAATTCCATGTGTTTGTATGCTTTACCAACTACAAATTAGGTAAAAGTTTATTATTTTTAGATATAATATTTAGTATCTACTTTATGTTATTTGTGTATGTAAAGATACATAGAATTATGGATTAAGTGATAGTTATTCAAATATGTTAACCCTGTGAAATGCCAATGATGAAAATATCTATTTAAAGTATTTGTTTAAAGCTTACGAACTATAAAGATAAAAAATAAAACCAAAAATCAAAATAAATATGGAAAGGCTTAATTTGATAAGTAAATTAATCAAACTTGTAATTTTCTATTAACACACAAATGGGAAAAACATGCTCATTTGGTGTTCAAGAAATATAAATTGGCATGGAGCATAATAAAAATTGGTGGTTTTAAATAAAATTTTAAAGGGTAGCAAAATGCAAATCACTATAATATCGTTAAAAGCACTACAAGAAACCAAATGAGTAGGCTAAAATTGATATTAAAATATAATTGTATTTTCCCGCATAAATTTATTTCTCTGAACCTCTGAATAAAAGAAAAATGGGACAGAAAAAAATGATGTTTGTATAAATAAACATAAGTGCTTGGGGGAGGAAGTCATGACTGGATAAATAAAAGAGCCACGAGAAAAATGAGTACTTCCAGGCTAAATCTAGCCAGACATTATAATCCATCACTGATCCCTAAAGGGCACTAATAATATGTAAATGTGTGAATTAGAAAACATATTCAAGGCTGTTGATAAACTTGATAGGATAATCAGCACATGCTGACAGACTAATGAAACTGATGAACTGATAGGGCAGCTTATCTCCTGGGCCATTTTTTTTCTTGTCAAATGGAGGCTAATCAAAATGAATTAGGAGTTAAAGCAAACACTCAGATGATTTCACCCATTTGATTAGGAGGGGAACTCTCTCTGAGAAAATCAGTTTCTTCAATGATTGAAACTACGAAACGAGGTCGGCTGACACACTAACACAAAAAATTAAACAGAAGGCAGCCACCATAATTATGGAAGGATTCTGAGATTTTCAATTACATTGGGATTCTCCCTTCACAAACTGTGAGGTTTCTTTTCAGATTGGGCAAAGCAAGCAACTAGCTCCTCTTACAAGGCAAAATAGGACAAAGGACCAAACAATAACCCCGGGGAAATAATTATCTCTTCCCTCCTGTGTTTGTACTGCATCTGTGTAACCATATGAGACAGACCCCAAGGTATTAGCTGAATTTTCAATCAAATTTATTTACAAAAAAAATAATTGAGCAAATTTTCTGAAATCACTAAGTAGTTTAATACCACATTTCCTGTTAGCAGTAAAGATGTCACATATGTTCTGTTGTCAAAACTCTGTCTTGTCCTAATGTAAAGAAAGACATTTTCACTTATAATTGGGAAAAACTGGAACTAAGGTATATCTGATAACCTTAATAATAAAATTAGAAATGAAAATTATTGAGGCTACTTAACAAGGTAGCAAAAGACAACCTTTATATAACTCATCTTAATATGACTAACTACCTAGCATTAAAATAGAAAAGTTAATTAATTGCTAACTCTATACACGCTGGTCATATACTTCAGAAACAGGTATTTCATCTGGGAAAACAGGTGAATGATAAAATACTGGCTAAGATAAGAAACTGTTAAATTTCATAAGAGTTGAAGGAAAAGGTCAATTTAATGATGATAAATTTTACATTTAGAATTACACCAGAAAGTAGAAGAAAACATAACTGAAAATACTTGTGTCCTCTTTAACATGAACACAAAACAGCTCAACTGCATGTTAACTGGGGTCAGAATTCCCAGTGACATGGAATCAATTTATCAACCTCTTTCAAATTATGGGTTCTATTTCAATTTACTGACCTGTGCCTGGTCTTATCTCTAAACTATTTCTATATTTTCTGTCACTTAAAAAAAATGAAGTGCTTATCCTTGCCCAAGAATATAGTTTCTATGTAGGAGTATCTGATGTTAATGTGTACTCAGCCATGCAGCTGCTATCAAATTTCTCAAGTAATAAAAGAGAAAATAATCCTAGAAATCATGTGACCTCATTTATTTTATATGCATGAGAGAGGCCTAGAAATATTAAACAAATTAATCAAGTTTAAAGAAAAAAGAAAAACTGAGTTTGGAATTTGTGCTTTGGAGAAAAGCATTTGATTTAAGAACAAAAGCATCCCATTTACTTAGTCATTCTTTTCCAGAAACAGCAAGGTTAATTGCAATTGGGCACCCAAAAAAAGGGGGGGATTCTTTTCCAAGTATTATACATAATGAAGAGTTTTCAGAAGTATCCACCATCCAATAGCTATGATACAAAGAGTCACAGGTTCACCATGGAAAATGATGTATATTTACTAGAAATCCTAATTCCTTAATTCATGTGCCTTGACAATTATAAGACAGAAAATTTAGCTAACGGTTCAAAATGTGAAAAAAAGAATAAGTGTAGTAGCACAGTTAAATTCTTCACACATTATTTTTACTATGTTGAATATCATAGGAATATGGCCTCATCAATAAAAATTATATCAGGTTCTGGGAGATGGTTTAAAGGACTAAGTACAAACCTTATGTATAGAAGCCCAGGTACTATGTGTTCCAATGACAATCTCTGAAAGTGACCCCTGAGCATTTTTCTCCCTCCCAATAAAGGAAACCAGGAAATTTCTCTCAGGTATCCTTATCCTTTGTATATATAATAATGAATATGTACATAACATGTTTATTTTTCAAATGTCCTTATAATGGAAAGCAGAATTTTAATGTATCACTAATTTGATCAGTAAAATATACATATATGTACTTTTATTTTCTAAATCTCTAGACTCCAAATAATATCTAAATAAATTCTTAAAAATAACTCTGAGATTGGGTCAATTTGTTGACATATGTTTATTCACTTTTTTCAGAACAACGGTGTCTGTGAGAATCTGAAATTGACACCCAATCACTTAAGTGATTTGTTGAGCATTAATAATGAGATTGATTAAACTTCTCCTTAACACAAAGGTTTTTATTTCTCCACAGATCCCTAATATGGAAATTAAAATATCTGTTTTACTTACCCATCATATTGTATAAGCTCTGTGGGGCAAACTGCCTTGGCATTTTCTGAATTGCTTCCTTGTATACATTAAGGGCATCCTAAGAAAGAACAAAGAGATAAAGTATAGGAATATTTACTATAAATAAAATAACATTCTTCCAGATAAAAACCTTCACATTGCTGATTTTAGATGGTTAATTAGATAAAATATTATTGAGAAATTTTATTATATCAAGCTACCTCAATTTCATGAGTGAAAAAATACCCAATCTAGTTATTGAAGGTCATAAAAATATTTTAAAACATGAAGCAGAACATTAGCAATATTTATCTGAATAGAAATTTTCCAGTTAACATGGATCATTCAAGTAAGGAAAAACCCTAGAAAAATTCTATTTGAAATTCACCCATAGTGATCTAGTCTGTAGTTAAATTATGTTAGGTAGCCAAATAGGATCTAAATGAAATGTCAACTATCAATTTTCTAGCTCCAGCAAATCTCTGAATTCAATTATTTATAAAGCCATACCTCTATCCTTGCACTGTACTTTTACTACAATGTATAAGAATATGTGGAGATAGAATTTCAGAGCAGAAAAAAATAGTTTAATATGAGAAAAATAAGGTCATACAGGCAGGTATGTTCAGTGTGAAAGAGAGGGATCTCAGCAGCTCCTAAAACATGTCCTTAGCTTTTGTGTGTTCCCCTAACCATCCCTGGGGATAACCTTCCAGTTGACATCAGGGACCTTTTGGAAAGGAAGTGGGTTCCTCTCCCTTCTAGATAGGTCCAAGCAGACACCACAATCACACTTTGCCATCTCTGCAGGCCCACCTTCATATCTCCAAAACAATGTGACCACGCTACTCAGCATACCTCACAGTTCACATTTATAATTTGTGTCACTGGTTATAGATAGGTAGGAAACGAAAAAACCAACACCCAGACTCTGGGGGTCTCAGACTCCCAGCAGGGGTCAAACCACAATGATTCACCCTCAACACTGTAGGGACATAGCAGACAGAATGGGAATGCATTGTATCAGTCCAGCATCCTCAATGAGTCAAAGTAATAACAGAAAGGCTCTTCTAGTACCAAACAGTTCTGTAAACTCTCTGAGAATGACTTTAGTGATACCATATTGAGGATATTTAATGAGCTAGAGAAAAGACTGCATGGATAGTCAGCAAAGCACAAGAATATAATGAGACGAGAAATGAGAAAAACTTCAATCAGAAGTGATGAAAATGAAGAGTATGGGAGGTGATTTTTTTTAATGCAATAAAAGGTCTAAGTCACAGAATAATAGTGAGGAAAATATCTTAAGATCCAAGATGAGATGTAGGAAACCTCTAGAAGACAACAGAATATAGGGAAATGTTTGGCAGCAATGTACTGAGTATTAGAGAACTACAGATCAGTTCATGAGGAACACTCTAAGAGCCATCAGCATTCCTAAAGAACAGGAAGGCAAATTTCATAAATAGAGAGTATTCAATTAAGAAGAAAAAAATCACAGCAAGAGATTTCCCAGAGTTGAGTGCAGAAATTCAAGAAGCCAGAGGATCCCAACAAAAACAGACACAAATAGAAAAACTCCAAGACTAATCATAACCAGAATGACAAAAGCCAAAAAAACAGAATACTTAATGCAGCAAGATTTAAAAAAAAAATAAAGGAGGGGGGCAAACTTATGTACAACACAAAGCCCTTAAGATACAGAGCAGATCTTCCAAAAAAGATTCTACAAGTCAGAGGAGAAAACAACAACGACAATAGCAACAGAACACATGAACAATAACTCAATGAAAGTGACACCTCATTATAATTACTCTATTCAGATAGACTATCATTCAGATTTTATGGGGCAACACAAAGCTTTATGGGGAGGGAATAGTTTATAGTTTTATGAACTCCCTATACTAAAACCAATTTTACAAGAAGCATTAAAGGAGTTTCTTTAAAAGACAAACGTTTTCTTTGTTTTGTTTTGGGTCCATACCTTGAGATGCTGAGTATTTACTCCTGGCTTTGTGCTCAAGAATTACTCCTTGTCATGCTTGAGATGCTAGGATGCTGGCAGGATCCTATGGGATGCTAGGGGTCAAACCTGGGCCAGCCACATGCAAGTCAGGTGCCCTACCCACTGTATCATCAACCCACCCCCGAAAAGACAACTTTTCAGCACTTTGCCTGAGATAGCATTCACTCATGGTGCTTCCAGTTGTCCTCTACTGGATTAGGAGAGGTCTATTTACTCCTAGGTTGCGAAAGATTTTATACCTTTTCAAAAATGAATGTTTAATTCATCTTGAATGTTATATGTCTAGACAGGTGATCTAGAGAGATTCTTTATTACAATCTTTTACTTATTAACTCAGATACCTAAGCATTGTTTAACAATACACCGTTTTTTAACTTAAAGCCATTATTACCTATTTAGGATAAAACACACTTTCATACATTTATAGGTTTATTCCTATTTTCCCTTAAAATTTTCTTATTTCTCTTCTCACTCTCACTAAATTGCACACTTGTAGAACTTATTCATTTTATGTTCATTTTAAAAGGCACTGGCATGGAATTACTCATTAATTTTTAATTTATGTACCTCTATAAAGAAAAATGTACAATTTTTGAAAAATACGATCAACTTATCAAAAATTTGTGGAATTTTAGAGTGCAGCTTAGTTTATCTATGTGTGTAGGTAATCAATGCTTCTTCATAAATAAAAAAAATATTTGGGGCATAAAGAAACATTTTAAGGGTACAGAAACTAGCTGAGGTCTTCAGAAATGGTGATTCTGTCCACAGAACTAGCTCACGTTGGAGTGAGGATGGCTGGGTTGGTCCTGGAGACACTATGGCCATGGTGTGGTGTTAGAACAAAAATGTCTAATTAACAGTATTGCAAATCCTGGTACCACAATAAAAATGAGAAAATAAAAAAAAGAGAAGGAGAACAAAGCTGGGGAAACCACCCAACTTCTTATGTACTAACCATCCTCTGTTACTATTCTCTCTCCTAATTAATGATCCCCTAATTAGTGATCTGAAGATTCAAAGAGGGGACCTTGGAGTAGTGGCAGAGGGATGCTGACATTCTGTTGGTGACTTGGTGTAGCAGCACTACAAGCATCAAACAATAATATTGTACTGCTGCATCAAACAATAATATTGCACTGCTGTAAAAAAATCCATTTATTACTGTTTAAACCAAATAAAAATGGGTAGTATTTATACAAATCATTTTCCTAGTTCTCAGAATAAACAAAGTAATTTTTTTATCTTCAGACACTTGATATAAGATACAGTAACAATGTATCTTCAATCATAAAGTCCAAAGATCTAATAAACAAACAAGCTTGAGAAGCAATGCATTTTATTTCCCTTTCTTAAAGTGACAAGTGATACTGGCACAATTGCTTTGAAAAATTCAATATGAGTCAATTAAATTTTGTTTAGCAGAGTTAAAGCCTTGCTGCAAAACTTTTAATTTAAACAAATATTAGTTACTCTGAGATCACAGCATCTGTGAAACAATTTCACAGATGTGAAAACAATAAGACTGGATGAGAACAAGGGAGCAAAAGGAAATGGACAGAGGGATATAAGGACACACCTCATAGTGTCCCTGCTCATGATAGAGTTTTCCCAAGTTGTAGAGACAGCTGGTAACAGAGCTCTTATGCGCATGAGGGTCCTTTAGATTTTCATCTGGGATCTCAGAACACTTCAGAAATGTGCGTCGGGCTTCTTCTGTCTTTCCTTGGTTCATTAGGATAATACCGGTGTTCAAATATGCAGCTGAGTGGAAAGAAAAGGAAAAGATAAAACAGTTGGATACAGTTTATTATCATAAATCAGTTTCTATTGAATATACTTTTCAAATATAAACAAAAATAAATTCTTAAGGAGCATTATATAGTAATAAGCGGTGCAGATATCACTAAAAAATATGAACTAATGTTGGGCCTTAAAAAGGTTAGTGCTCAAGAAGCTCAAATAAAAACTGAGATAAAGTATCTTAATGAATCAGAATTGTACTTATCTTAATACACTTTTAAGTGAAAGCATATAAAATTGTGATTAAATTGGGATATAATTTTTCAAAGTTGATAATCTTATTAATACTCTTAATCCAAATTTTTAAAAATTTGGAGTACTATTTTTTTCTCTAGAATGCCACCAAGGGGGGCTGGAACTATAGCACTGCGGGTAGGGTGTTTGCCTTGCATGTGGCCAACCCAGGTTCGATTCCCAGCATCCCATATGGTCCCCTAAGCACTGCCAGGAGTAATTTCTGAGTTCATGAACCAGGAGTAACCCCTGTGCATCACCAGGTGTGACCCGAAAAGCAAAAAAAATTAAAATAAAATAAAATGCCACTAAGGTATTTTCTATGGATGAGTAGTATTAAAAAAGAGGTATTTGCAAAGATGTTGAACATTACTTACAAGCTAGTGTAGGTCTGCTCCCAATTGCCAATTTATAATAATGCAGTGCTTCTGCAAACCTGCTATTCTCCTGTAGCAGTAACCCTCTGCAAGAAGAAAAAAAAATGGAGACAGTTCATTACTGTAATAAAACTATACATTTTTATTTTAAATTTCAAAAAAAATTGGTTGATATGGCTATAAAAATACTGATCTGGTACTATAAAAAATAAATCCTAAACAGCAGTAAATGATACCTCAGAAGAGAAAATGTTTTAGAGGTATCAGTTGCATTTATGTTGCATTAGAAAGTATTAATAAGTACTTTCCAAAAGTCTTTTGTCCCCAATGATCTTTCCCTTTTCCAACAGTCTTATTTCTCTCATTAAAATTACAAATCATCTGAGTTTACTCTTGGAGTGAGTACATTATTTCACTAATTTGGAGAGGAACCTTGTTGAGTGCAGTGAGATTATATAAACATTTATATATTTAACCTGGTATTCCACTCTCACTAGTTATATTACTTGGAAAATACTGGTTCACAACTGCCAAAAATGGCAAAAGGTAATTTGGGTTAGTAGGATAAAGAGTTAGAATTTAAGGTAAGAGAGACCGTGCAGGGGCACTTTGTAAGGTGTTTGCCTTCATGCAGTTGACACAATTTAAATCCTAGCACCTCAAAATGTTGGTCTCTCAAGCACCCCTAGAGTGATCCATAGTTAAAGAGTCAGAGAAAGCCCTGAACACCTCTAGGTGTGGTTCAACCTCCAACCCCACTCCCAAAGAACAAAGAAGTATCATAATTTAGGACTGGGGTGATGACTAAATGGTCAGTGCCCATCTTCTGCAGATGGGAGGGCCAGGTTCAATACCCAGCACTACACAGTCCCGTCAGTACTATCAGGAGTGACTTCAAAATATTTCTGTGAATGGTCCCAAACCCCAAACCAGACAACCAAAGGACTAGAATTTAATCAGATATCAAAACTAAAAGCTATTCATATTCTTATTTTCAGATTATTTCAATTTGGTCTAAAAGTTTGAATTTTGAACACGTAGCAGATTTTATTCCACTGTTTATAGACTGACTTTTTTCTACAGATCTTCAGACTCTACTAACCTTTCTATGAGGTTCTTAAGATGGTCACAAGGACTTTTGCAACCATTCAAGGTTCTGCCTTCATACCCCAAAATAAAAAACAATTATAATCATGTCTACAAAAATTTTCTGTCACAGAATTGAACTAAGCTGAAAAACCCTCACAAAAAGCTTTTGGCTTTTTTTGCCCTCTGTTCTCCTGTAATCAGCAAACTTCTGACAGACATTTGGCACCTCTCTTGAGCCTGAGTACTGCTGTTATCAACCTCAAATTGCAGTTTTAACTTGTGAGCTGCTGATGTCTTGAAAGGCTGATAAAATACGAGGTTACAAAATGAGAAGGCCACTGATTAAAAAAATGAACAATTATCAATCTGTATTTTCAAATATTCATATACTATTTAATGGGCTGGAGCAATAGCATAGCAGTAGGGCGTTTGTCTTGCACGCAGCTGACCTGACCGACCTGGGTTCAATTCTTCCGTCCCTCTCTGAGAGCCTGGCAAACTACCAAGAATATCTCGCCCGCACAGCAAAGCCTGGCAAGCTACCAGTGACGTATTCTATATGCCAAACACAGTAAAAACAGCTAACAACAATGGAGACATTACTGGCCCGCTTGAGCAAATCGATGAACAATGAGAGGACAGTGACAGTGACATTTAATGGGATCCTTGGGAAAATATCTATGTAAATCACCTTGAAAAGAAACTATACTCACTTGCATCAACAGCATATTTTGACCTCATCATTTCTAATATTTGTTGAAAACTAAAAAATTCCACTTCTGAAACATGTTTATATCAATTGCATAGATACTTATCCATATATAGACATTTGCCCCTGTGGCTGTGGCCTTAGCATGTAGTTCTAGCCTTGCTTCAGAGCTTCCTAAGAGAAACTCTATTCCAGAACCAGACTCAGGAAGCTGTCGGAGATTTCTGAAGATGACCCAAGCCCCACATTCAAATCATGCATAGAACCCACAGGAGCTAAAGTTTGGTCACTGAGAATTCAATGCTCTCTCAGCCCAGGCTGGACTGTACAACAATTTTCTGAACATGTGTTAGCGAGGCTGACCTCTTAGGAAGAGTAAGAATCAATATAATCACTGTCCAGGACCAGAAACACCCAAACACCTGACTTCTCAACTGAGCCAAATTGCTCAAGCCCACAGATTCTCCAGATCAGCAAGTGTGAAAGACAGTGTTCAGGACAAGGAGTGAGCTGTTTGTTTTTTTTTTTTTTTTTTTTTTGTTAAAACCTGTTCCTGTCCTGGTTGTATCTTTTGCTCCATATTAACCAAGACATGGGCCAACTAGATATGAGAATATTAAGCTGATGAGAATACATTTCAGTTGCTAGCCATAAAGAAGAACAAAGATACCTGCAGTATTCAAAGGTTTGTGAGAATTTTGTCGTTAAAAGCATGTAAACTTGATAAAAGAAAAGAATACTTACATTCATATTTCAAAAACTTATATATAGATATATTATATACACACATGGGGGTCACGGGTCACGTTCCTCCCATTGTTCATTGATTTGCTCAAGCGGGCCCAGTAACGTCTCCATCATGAGACTTGTTACTGTGTTTGGCATATCGAATATGTCACGGGTAGCTTGCCAGGCTCTGCAGTGTGGGCGAGATATTCTCGGTAGCTTGCTGGGCTCTCTGAGAGGGGCAGAGGAATCGAACTTGGGTCGGCCATGTTGACCGCTTGTAAGGCAAACGCCCTACCACTGTGCTATGGCTCCAGCCCTTATATACATACATATCTATTATATATCAAGTACACATAATGTTTATATATTAAATCATATATTTATCCTTCAAAGTTAACTAAGCTGCTATACATTATTTCATTTCATCTGTAACCCAAACTGTGTGTTTGTCACTTTCCACAGACATTCGGATAAAGATTTTCGTCTTTGTTACATGGCTACTGGGCACAGAGGAGAAATGTCATTCAGGTATTTAATCCTATTCTATCATCCTGAAGAATTAAAATTCTTCCAAGAGCAAACCTTCATCTCTGTAACATCAATCACTTTCCCAATTAGTTTTTCCTTCTTTAAAAATACAAAAAGATTCATATAGCACACAGCATTAAGCAGAAAAACATTATAACCTTGACTCAATTCTGCATCTGCCTATAAATATTCTGGTCATTTTCAAAGGAGATTTCCATCAAGAATGTTTGTGGTACATGTCCAGTGACTCAACTTATCTCTAAATTCCGGGTAGCCTGTAATCCCTAGTATTTTCCTAAAATGTTATAATCATCAAATTTCTACTCATTGTCAAGCACCCCTCCCCCTCCAAAATAATACATTCTACTCTGTAAACAATCAACTCAACTGAAGACTGAGTTCATCCTGACATTCTATTCCATGGCTTCTGGAAAGCCAGTTTTCTTTATTTCTATTCTTTCTGTACAGAGAATGAAGAAGTATATTGTGCACCCAGTTACATTACTTAAGCTGATGTTTAGGCTGGAAGAGCAGGAAGTGTAGGAAGTAAGGCACTTATCGTGTATGTATTCCTTAGGCCCATCCAGGTTTGAATTCCTAGAACCACTTATGTCCAACGAGAGCAGCAGAGGTGACTCCTAAGCAGAGTCAGGAATAGCACCTGAACATGTCTGGGTGTGGCCCCAACCCTCTAGCCTCTCCCCATACACTTGTTTGACAAGACTGGCTTTTTCACGTCTTCATTTTCCATCCCTGCATGCCAACACATACACATGCACTTCATTCAGTACATGCTGACTATTCTCAATTCTGAAATAACCATATTTCTCCTAACCTCCAGATTTCCTTCCAAAGGATGAATTTTGTGAGTTTCGGTGCTTATTGGAATTTCAAAATCCACAGATGCAAAACTGAAAACTGCACTTCCTATTCAATACAAAATGGGGGGTATGTGTGTGGGAAGAGTGGAGTGATAGTATAGCAGTAAGGTGCTTACCTTGCATGTGGCCAACCTAGGTTTGATCTCTGGCACCCCATATAGTCCCCCAATCTCACTAGGAATGATCCCTCTGCGCACAACCAGGAGTAAGTCCTGAGCCCTGCTAAGTGTGACTTATAAACAAATGAAAAACAAATACAAAAACAAAAAGGCAACAACAACAACAAAAAAAAAACCCAAAAAACAAATGTGCAAAAAATGAAATGAGTAAGAAGGAAAAAGTTTCTCAGCAATCTGAACGAATTGCTAATATCAGGAACCTAATTATCACTATCATTATATCTCTGTTTTATATGTTGTAAAACTTCTCACTGAATAAGTTTTACTTATTCTCATGTCTGTGTTTAATAGTCCAATGCCTACTAACTCTCACTTGCTATGATTCTTTACTCTGTCCCTCAAGATTCCTCTTTATGGCCCTGTCAGGACAAATTTTATCTTTTCTTTCACCTAAATAACTGAAACAGTTCACTAATTAGTCTCCAGATAATTACATCTCTAAAGGGCAAGGATGCTGTTGGGCTAGAGAGAATTTAAGGGGCTGAGCACATCTCTCTAAGTACCTAAAACGCAGAAACATTGAAAACTGGTACATCTCTCTAAGTACCTAAAACGCAGAAACATTGAAAACTGGTATACTCCTTGACTTAACTGGGTCCCCATTGCTGATGTGGTATATTCTTGCATTCCGGTCATATTTCAATTCATAAGACACAATGGGAGCTGGCCAGAGGGTGCTAAATTATATAATCACATTGCAACAATCCTGTCCAGCCTGCCCTATCCTTAAGAAGAATATAGTTGTATGGAGTGATACAAAGGTGCATTTCAAGGATTATATATCATGATTTTTTTTTTTTGGCATAAGGACAGTATCATCCTCTATATTACACACACAAAAAAAAAGTTAACCAGAGAGTAAGTTCAAGTAATGTAGTTATTGTGATTATTTCTCACAGACCAAGAATTTAATTGAGCATCAATTCTGACTTCATATGCATGCTGCTAACATGAGATGAATATGCACTTAC